AAAAAAAAAAAAAAAAAAGAATATCAATAAATAGACTTAAGAATAAATAACACAATTTGCATACTATCACACCTGAAAACTACGTTTTCAAACATTAAAGAAAGTAGAATGCTTATGTAAGGCACTAAATCAAATAAAAAAATCTTTTTGTAAAGATAAAGCTTCTATGTACTACCAATTTTAATTATGTATACTGGCAGTGCATTTGTAGTAATAGTTGGCAGTTATTAATTGGTAAATCCTTAGGCAGGTAAAAGTAATTTTATAAGTGATTTCCCCTCCAGACCAAAAAATTATTCCCCAGAGCATTAACAAATCAAGTTTTAATTATTCAGTGTTGAAGTGATCACAGCCTGTTTCTTTCCTCATTTGAGCGTCTATATACAAGTTGAGTATCATTTATCCAAAATGCTTATGACAAGAGTGCTTCACATTTTGGATTTTTACAATATTTGCATACACATAATGAGATGTCTTAAGGATGGGACCCAAGTTAAAACTCAAAATTCATATGTGCTTCTTATACTCCTTATGCACATAACCTGAAAATAATTTTATGTGAAAAATTTAATAAACCTGCATTTTGACTGTGACCCATCACATAAGGTCAAGTGTGGCATTTTATATTTGTAGTATTGTCAGTGCTCAAAGAGTTTCAGAATTTGGACTATTTTAGTTTTCAAACTTTTGGATTAGGGATGCCAAACCTGTAACCCAAGTGTCCCCCTTCTTGTTATGTGCTTTCATGTTTTGTTTTGTTTTGGGTACCAGGGATTGAACCTAGCGATACTTAACCACTGAGTCACATCCTCGACCCTTTTTTATATTTTATTTTGAGACAGGCAAGGTTCACTGAGTTGCTTAGGGCCTTGCTAAGTTGCTGAGGTGGCTTTGAACTTGTGATCCTCCTGCCTCAGCCTCCTGAGCTGCTGGGATTACAGGTATATGCCACAGCCAGCTCTCCTTCTTGTTATGAATTCATATCAACTGATGAAATGACTGTAAGTGTATGCAAAGAAATCAAGGTGCGAGGACTTTTTCTTTAACTAGCTTACGTATCGTCAAGCCAGTGGAGAAAGCTGTGACGAGTTTCGATTAAAGATCTGCTACTTCATGAGGTAAAGATGCTTACAAATTTAATTTCTTGTCATTGTTAACAATTTCCTTTTCTCTAAGCAGTAGAGACCCAGGGTGACAATAGAATGTACTCAGGTCTCCCTTGGACTGACATTGTTAGAAGTGGCCTTTCTCTGTTCTGGGGGGTAGAATTGATCTCGTGGACTAGTGCTTAGTAATAGTAAATAGAGTTAGGAAATAAAACCAGTCTTGGAGCGAATGCAATTTTTTCTACTCACTCAGGCACACCTATTTCACCTGCTTGCTGTGAAGCAGGGGAAGGGTTTCCCTTCAGTTGTGGTTTCATAGTCAGAAAAAGGCTCAGGGTTAGCATGGAAGACCTTGGTTCTTGATTGAAGGAGGGTGCAGAAAGACTCAGCATGATGACTGGGGATAGATGGTTAAGTGGGAGTATGGTCCTGGATTCTGTTGGAAGCATAGGAAAATGGTACAATAACTTCCATAGAGGCCCAATTTGAAATCTTCTAGCTAGAAAAATAATTTTTTTTTGCCTTTCAGGTACTGGATTCTGAAGTTTCCTGCAGAGTTTAATTTGGATCTTGGTTTGATTCGTATGACTGAAGAGTTCCGAGAAGTAGCCAGTCAACTAGGATATGAAAAACACATCAGCCTCATCGACATATCCAGCATGTAAGAACAGCTGGAGCATCTTTCATCCTTGCTAAATCCACCACTTTGGGCAGGGAGTAGTGATCAAGTCCACTGGATCTGAATCCATATGGTCCCAGAATTAAGGTTTGCTTTTGTGAGGACAGCCTTACTGTGGTGAACACAGATGTACTGGACATGACTCATTTCTCTAAGTTGAAATTTATTTGTAAAATGGGGTAGTATCTTTTTTTGTGGGATTATTATAAGCATCCAAAAAGTAGATGAGATTGTGTGTGAAAGCATTTGGCACAAAATAGATGTTTAGTACTTAGTTACTGAATCTGAATCTAGTAAATGTCTTTGGTGTCTTGGCTATTCAAAAGTGCCTCCTTCAGATCAGCAGTATCAGTATTGCCTGGGAGCTTATGAGAAACACAGAATCTTGGGCCCCGTCCTAAAACTGCTGAATTGGAATCTGCTAAGATCCTCAGTGACTCATACGCACATTCAAATTGGAGAAGCTCTATACCACACTGATTCTGAGGTTGGCCTGAGGTTATATCAATGTCGATCATAGTTGTGCCATGAACTGCTTGGGTCAATTATTAGGAACTTGCTGCTAACTAGGCTTGTTTCATATTGACCAGCTAACTTTGCCCAGGGAAAGCTAGTTGATGATCCCTAAGTATCTTGCAAATGCATGCTACTGTGTCTTAGGCATTCAGACTATATTCTCCATTACCTGGAATACTCCTTAAAGAGAGTGAATGATCCAGGAATCATGAGGGATATTTGTTTAAAATGCATATTATTCAGGCTCATTCCTAGTAAGTTAGACTGTCTGGCAGTGAGGTCCAGGCCTCTATCTTTGTAACAAGTTTTTCAGATAATTTATATTATACCAAAATGTGAGAACCATGGCTTCTGGTAGTTTCCATGTGTCTTGAATCACCATCTATCTATATGCTGATAAACTTCCAAATGTATAGACCTCTCGTTTATGACTCAGATTTTGCTTGGTCACAAGGAAAACCGAGTAAGAGATTCTGGATGGATCAGTGCAAACTTAGGCTGTCTGGAAAAACAACTCAAAGTTTATGTTCTATTGGCAAGGGGTCAGTGGTTTTCTCTTTAAATAAGAGGGACAGGGTGTATATTTTGCATAAGCTCCTGGGCGCAGGCCAAGAGTTACAGTCAGTAGGTTAATAACTTCCATTGAGTGAAGCAGGTTTTCAGCACGTTGACCAGGCTTGCTCTTCTTTTATAGTCCTTCCTATGACTGGATGAGAAGAGTCACACAGAGGAAAAAAGTATCCAAGAAGGGAAAAGCCTGTCTGCTGTTTGACCATCTGGAGCCCGTTGAATTGGCCGAGCACCTCACTTTTCTGGAGCATAAATCTTTTAGAAGGATCTCAGTAAGGAACTTGACATTTATTCTTCCAAGGATAATAACCACCATGCCAACTTTCCCAAGAGCTGAATTTTCATATTCTAAAGTGTTGGCAGCTTCTGTCACTGTGCTGTGCTGGAAAAGTGCCCTTAATTCACAGGAACAATCCCTTTTAGCCGAAGATAAATATTATCCTGTCTTTATTTTATGGCTCAGGAGCTGTATTTCTGTCGCTATTTTCAATGTCTCCTTTCACAGGATTAAAGTGTGATTTTTCTAAATACTGTGGCGATTTAACCATTTGAGGTCTATTTAGCGCCCCTGACTTCTCTCAAGGATTTGCATTTTGTTAGGATTGTCATTTTTTTGGGGGGGGGGCGAATATTTAGGTTGGGATTTTTATGAATGCCTAATTAAGGGTATAGAGTAAAAACAGGATTTGTAGGTTTTGAAGAGAATCTCAATATCAACCTGCTCCTTTCCCAGAGTTGGAGATTCTTAATTACACTTTTCTTTCCTATGCATCTTGTTAGGGCTTCCTTTCTCCTCTTTTCTTCCTCCTTTCTTTCTGTGCTCTCTTCTTCTCTGCCTCCTCCATGCTGTCTATGATAATATTTCCACACGGGTTCACAGTCAGCCAGGTGCTTTGCTGATAGAGCATCGGGTTCTGGGGAAGCCACCCCTCCTCCTTTTCCAAGGACCCAGGGAGTGAATGACATTATTTCTTGCAAGAAGACCATCTTGATTGTAAACATCCATTTCCAAAAGACTCATTTTTTTTTTTCACCAAGTAATCCAGAGAGAAATATGATTCCCCACAGGCAGGTCATGGGAGGAGATCCTTTGCACTGTTTTTATGGTAGAAGGCTCCTACATATTTGATGACATCCATGCTAACCTTCCGGGTATATGTCTATTTTTGCTAACAAGCTGCCTTATTTCAATTGATATGTTTTCTTTTTCTTGAAACAACTTTACAAAATGATTCTGATATATTTATGACCATTTCCTGTTCTTTTCTGTATACGATTGGATCTTAAACTTGCTTGATCACTGGACTTATTGGTAGTGTGTTAAAAAATGGAGATTCTTCATTTCTTCCTGTAGAGATACTGATCATTTATGTCTTGGGTGTTCCCAGGAACCAGTCTATTGGCAAATGACCCAGGTTAGATCTTATGATTTAGTAAATAGGGACTTTCTGGAATATGATTTTGAATCGTGTGTGTCCCTTTCTTTGCCCTACCCCACAAGCATGTGATATGTAGTAATGTGTTTGTGTGTGTATGGGAATGGAGTTTGAAATGCAGCTAAATAACCTGTTAAAGGTACAGATATATTCAAACTTATAGGATGCCATTCTAAATGTGAAATGAAAGAAACCATTATGTTGTTATGGAAAAAATATCTTAGACCTTCTTTGCAATATTCTAATGTCCAATTTTGCAAAAGCTTCTTTATACTTCAAAATTTTAGTACTTCAAAATCTCCGAATCTTCCTTTATTATAGTTCACTGATTACCAAAGTTATGTCATCCATGGCTGCCTGGAGAATAATCCAACCTTGGAGAGATCTATTGCTTTATTTAATGGAATATCTAAGTGGGTCCAGTTGATGGTTCTTAGCAAACCAACCCCCCAGCAAAGAGCAGAAGTCATCACAAAGTTTATCAATGTTGCAAAGGTATGTCCAATAATCCTGCTGGAGTACTTCGATTCTAGATGATTGTTCACTCTATTGAGAAAGTCATTGAGGAAATTCAGTGTTCATATTATAAGGGCATTGAACAATTAAGCTACTCAGAGATGTCTGATGGAAGAAAGCATACTTCTCTCATGTAAGAACATTTTTTTAAAAAGCAATACTGGGTTGGGGCTGTGTCTCAGAGGTAGAGCACTTGCTTGACACATGCATGAAGTTTGATCCTCAGCACCACATAAAAATAAAATGAAGGTATTGTGTCCACCTACAATTTTTTTTAAAAAAGCAATACTAGTTGGGCACAGTGGCACACACCTGCAATCCCACTCAGAAGACTGAGGCAGGAGGATCAAAAGTTTGAAGTCAGACTGGTCAACTTAGTGAGAATCCACTTCAAAATGGAAATTAAAAAGGGTTGGGTATATAGCTCAGTGGTAGAGCTTCCCAGGGTTCAATCCCCAGTATGAAAGAAACAAAAACAAAAGAAAAAGTAATACTTAGAAGAAATTTATGGAGCTAGGGGTTTTTTTTTTTTTTTGTGTGTGTGTGTGTGTGTGTGTGTGAAATGATTGACATTTTTCTAAAGGATTCTATTTGTGTTTTGTTTTAAATAGATGTTATTATTTCCTAGGTTTTTATTGTTAAAATTGTGTATGCACTCACCAGTAGTTCAGAAAGTTCAGAATAATTTAAAAATCCTTACAAAAGTATTAATGATTGATTTTTTTTTTAATTGCAGAAGCTTCTTCAGCTCAAAAACTTCAACACTTTGATGGCGGTGGTGGGAGGTCTCAGTCATAGTTCCATTTCACGCCTCAAAGAGACCCATTCTCATCTCTCTTCAGAAGTTACAAAGGTATGGTGAATTCTGATCTGAATTCCAAGTGAAACGTGCGAGTTGTTTAGGTACAGTACACTGCTATCAAAGGTCACTCAGAATGGAAAATCTTCCTCTTCAACCAATGGTAGGTTACACATAGGGGACAAGTGAAAAGGCATAGCCACACCTGTGACTCCATGTAGAAAAACAGGTTGGAGGTGGTGGTGTTCCAATAAGAGTTCTTTGAGATGTGATTAATATAGTTGTCAATATTAAACAAATATTTCTTCGGTGCTTTCTCCGTGATAAGCATTGTGATATACATAGTGGGTACTAGATGAAATGAGACAGAAATAGTTGCTATCCTGCCATCCGGAAATAAAATCACTGAACACCTGCTCTATTTATAATCCTGTGTTCAGCACAGTGGAAGAGAAAAAGGAAGGGGAAGACAAATGCCTGGTACAGAAATACTCAGATTTACAACTGAGTTGTCAGGAACAAAATATATCCTTGGAAGAAACACTTCCCAAACTGAATTTTCCTGCCATGTTTATTTCTAGACCATATTAATAGCTTTTTTTTTAATGGGCAAAAAGAATCATTTTATTCTTAAAAGAACAATTTCATCTATAAATGTAAATAGAAAAGGAAAACTATGCATTGATTAAATAATAAGACACGGGCTGGGGATGTGGCTCAGCGGTAGAGCATTCACCTCGCATGTGTAAAAATAAATAAATTAAATAAAGGTATTGTGTCTGTCTACAACTAAAAATATATTTAAAAAATAATAATAGGACAAACAATGGGTAAAGCAGACTTTGGGTATGGTCTGATCAAGACCTGGTTTTGTTCTTCTGCCTGCCTCTGAGTGTCAGGGTTTTGTAAGTTTAAAAAATTTTTTTGTTTGCCTATTGAACTGGCTTTCCTCCTGAATGGGTTGTATGTAGCAACAGGAAAATTATACTCTCTAGTTCATAAAAGTTACAGATAGACAAGATTTCTCCAACTCTGCCCCCAAGAGATTCAAAGACCTCTTTTTTGACAGATTGGTCCATCTCAAATCATATGTGTACATTGGCTCAGTAACTGTTGCCAGAGATTGGCTTAATCCCATGTTCCTGAACCAATCACAAACCAGAGGAAGGAATTATTATGATGTTAAATCAGAACCCGCTATTGGTCCTGGGGGTGGAAACAGCTCTGTGTTGAAGCACATGGACTGCTTTGGGAAAGAGAAGTCTGATCAAAATTGGGATCTATTAGGAAGGTCTGGTTGATTTATTCATATAAACAAGAGGAAGCAAGCCACAGAAGTACCACTGTTTGACCTCAAACTCTATACTTATTCCAAGCATAATGGAACTACTTATATATTTTATTGTCTTTTAGCTTTGTACTAAATTTTGAATAAAAAACAAAAGAAATTTTAAATGTTTTAAACAATAAGAATTTGATAGACTCATAGAAGCTTTAAATTACCAGCTTGATTTTGAAAGTTATTTATTTGAACTCCTTTTCCTTACAAAAATGGAAACTAAGACATCTCACCCCCCCAAAAAAGTGAAGTGACTTGTTTGAGATCACCCTTCTATTTAGTGCAGAGTCTGAAACCACAGCTGTCTTACGTTGTAGTGTGACTTTTCCTGCCCCATACTGTCCCAGATTAACCTTCAAGTTACCTGGAATGTAACTTTCTTGGAACAACTAGGAAATTTTTAATATGCTGCAAGCTTGGATATTTGGACTGTAATATCACAAATCACAAAATACTAAGTATACTTCATGCCATTTAACATCCCACCATCCCAAGTCGATAAGCAGACATACAAGCTATTGGAATATCTGTCCAATTCATGGCAGGCTTAGGACGTTTTTCTAGCTTTCTTTTTCCTGGTTAATATTTCCCTGCATCAATATTGGTGCAACTGAGGAATTTCCCAGCCACCATTGCAGGGCCTGGAGGTGGGCCGAAGAGGAGGATGTTTGACAATTCTGCTTTTCCATTTGTTTTCAGAATTGGAATGAAATGACAGAGTTGGTCTCCTCCAACGGCAATTACTGCAATTACCGCAAGGCCTTTGCAGACTGTGATGGCTTCAAAATCCCCATCCTTGGAGTACACTTGAAAGACTTGATAGCGGTCCATGTCATTTTCCCAGACTGGATGGAGGAGAACAAAGTGAATATTGTGAAAATGCACCAGCTGTCCGTTACCCTGAGTGAACTGGTCTCCCTGCAGAATGCCTCTCACCACTTAGAACCCAACATGGATTTGATCAACTTGCTCACCGTGAGTGCCCGGGTTGGGAGGTGGTTGAGTGTGTGCTAAATAACCCTTCTGCCCTTTACTTTCCAGGGAACATAGGAAGATGTTTGCTAGAAATCCATTTTGGAGGAAAATGGATTTGAGGGTTAATAGATGAGAAAAAATCTCAAAGGATGGAGGAAAAAGGAACCCCATATGCACAACTTGAGTCTATAATCTTGGGGCAAATAAACTTCCTTTGTCGGGAGGGGCTCAGTCCCTTCCCATAGGGAAATGGGAGTTCCTAGAGAGCTGCCTCCAGAGGCATCTCAGCCCCTCACTCTCCTAGGGCATACTTGTTCACTATCCACTTCCATCTATGCAACCTCAAATCCTCAGCTTCTCCTTACTGGCTGCACTGCTTAGTTGGAGCCTGAGGTGCAAAATCCTCCTCTGTGATCCCAGAACCTCCCTTATTCACCATCCCCAGACTGCCAGGATGTAGTCCCCAGCCTGGCCATCAGTGCGACCTGTGCATCGTCACCCTCTCCCCCACACACCAGCCTTTGAGAAACATTGAACTCGTACTTTCATGAAATGCCACCTTCTGCTTCCTGGCCTTTTGTGCATTCTTGGGAAATCTTTTCCCTCTCCAGCCACATGACTAGTTCAACTTCAAACCTCCATCTTTCTAGATTATTCTCTGCTTCCCTCCAAAGCAGAGAGGCATCCGTCACATGTATTGCTTTTGCACTTTTACATTCTCCTTATCTATGGAAGGTATTGCTTTGCATTATATATATATTTTTTCTGTTTACGTGTCTTATGTCACATCCCCAGCACCTTTCATAGTACCTGGAGCATTTAGGAATTCAATCAATGAAGTAAATGCCTCAGGAGTAATGAGAGTCAGATAAAAGGAGTTCATCTACCAGTCATGTCTTTTGGCAGTTGTGGCATGCTTATTTAGCTGGTCCCAGCTCCTGGAACTTTTGGATACAATCAATGTGTACAAAAGAACATTTTCCATTGGCTCTTCTTTGTGGGGAGGAGAAGCATAACGAAATTCTCTTACCCTTGCAGGGTAAGGTGCAACTTCCCTGTTTGGGCTTATCACACTATAGCATTCAAAATTTAGCTGCAATACTGAATTAAATGTATTCCTTTTATGGCTGTGGAAAATGAAACCAATAACTCCTCTCATGCTTTGACCACCTAAATCCCCTAGTTCTGCTGCATTGGAAAGGAATGTAGTTCCTACACTTCTCGCAAAGTGTTCCTAGAGCATGTAATTGTTTATAGGCTCCTGATTGTAGGTGATAATATTAGCTGCACCCTTGCCAGCACAGAGAAACACCAATCTATTGGGGCTGAGTTTGTGTGATAAATAATAAACCCGTGGTCATTCTCTACTGGGGAGAAAGAACCCAACCCACAATAATCCAAGCACCTGCATTTATTAATCATTTGCCATGTAAATCTGTTTCCACGAATGAGTGACCAGAGTTTCAGCCCCAACCAGACTGCAAACCCACAGGCACAGGTGATGTCTGAAGACCAGACCCAGTGTGTGGCTTCGGTTTCAAGTGTGTGTCCAAGCTGTATCCTTGATTTCGAGTGTAACTTCATAGAGCAGGTGCCTGCACTTGGGCATCCCAATCAAAGGCTGTGAGAGTAGGGAAGTTCATTTGAGTTATAAATACATCAAGCAACAAAATTTTTTAAAAAAACAGAGATATTTAGAGAAATATTGAAGACTTTTGAATGAAATTTCAGTGGCAAAAATTAGAAAACCTGAATTCCAGAAATAAAAACTACAAAGTAATTCCTTTTGGGGAAAACAGCAAAAAATAAAAGGTTCCAGAGCCTCACGTCCCACCCTTAGGGGCACTGAAGGAAGGTTTAGAAGCCACTAAGTGCCACTTTTATTAAGATGTAATGTTGCATAGTATATGTATCTGCAAAATCCCAGATGGGAGGTCTTGCTTTTGCTCCTGCCTCTGCAGTTCCTTAGCTTTAGCTCCTTGCTAACTGGCCCTGACTTTGGCTTTTTCATAAGGATTTTATGCTCATTGGTGAGGTTTCTTCTGGTTCTAAATTTCTCAATGTAAGGAACAGTGGAGCCCTGAAAATAAGGAACACTTTCTGCTCTACTGGCCCCGTGGCTCCCCAGGATTCCACAGTCCTACATACAAGTGGTGGAGAATCAAGCCAGTTTCTGCCTAAAGCTAGGATCCTTCCCCTCTGCCCCCAACAAAGGAGAAAGTTCAATGCACAGGAATAGATGCTCAGCCTTTTTCACCCCTGAGAAGTCAAGTTCCTCAAATGAGGACCAAGAGATTCATCATGTATTCCCTAGAGCCCGATGGCCATTTTATAAAACAATATATATATATATATATACAGATTAGAGCCAGATCAGATTAGAGTCAGTCACTGCAGCTTGTTAGGTGCACGTGATCACGTTTCTAGCACAACATGGAAAGGGCTGATGAATTTTCCACCAAGACTCCAAGTCAAGTTTCTGTCTGAAGTGATTTTGCCTAAGCATGGCCTCAGGGGAGGGAACCAATATATGATCGAAAATCCTGGAGGATAGAAAATGAGAACTCTCAGGTTCATCAGCAATTAATTGTTAAATGCCTCCTCTGAACAGTCATCCATCAATGGGTTGGGCTTTCTGTAATAACTGATTTTGACATATATTTCCATGGTAAAATTTTTTTCTTTTTTTAAATTTTTTAAATTTGTTTTAATTAGTTACACATGACAGTACAATGATCTTGACATATCATACATCTGATCCATGGTAAATTTTTACAAGCATTTTTTACAGGATCAGAACATTTGTCAGAAACAACTAGATTCTCACCGTTAGACCTGTGATGCAAATGGCAGGGCAGTAAGTGGACTGCCAATCCCACCACCCTGCCTTTCTTATAAATGAAGAAACAGATGCATAAAAGGCTTACAATGGCAAACTTCTGCATCCTAGCTTTGCCTCAGGTGGACATGTGTTCTCTGATGTGGGCATATGGCAACATCTAATTTTCCTTATTTCATATCTGTAAAAAGCTACATAGTACCTTTCTCTGTCCATCTTCATGAATGTATAATAAAAGAGTTAGAGAAAATGTATGAGGGCAGGGATTATATCATTTTTTTTTTTATCATTGTGTCCGTGGCCCCTTCAGTAGCATGGAGTATGTGAAGAAGGAGAACCATACCCCTGAACCATTGGGATTTGGAGATTTCCTGCTCTCAGGAGAGATCTAGAGAAGATGCTTCCCCTTGGGATCCTGATTCATGTGATCAGGAGCTTTGAAAACCAATGCTTCTGTTTCATAATTTATGAAACAGCCTAATTCTTTTCATAGTATTTTTAGCCATATCAGTTACTTTTACCCTTCTGGGTACATGCAAATAACTGGAAAGCCCCAATATTTTTACAGTCTCATTTGAAAAAAAAAAAGAGCTGTAAAAATAATGAGTGGGGCTGGGGTTGTGGCTCAGTGGCAGAGCACTTGCCTCGCATATGTGAGGCACTGGTTCGATCCTCAGCACCACATAAAAATAAATAAGCAAAATAAAGATATTGTGTCCATGTATAACTAAGAAAAATTTTTTAAAAAATGAGTGGAGGTAGTTTGATAACCCAGTTTATTCTCTTGTACAATAAACATTTAAGCCGGTGTAGAGCTTAACATTAACACTGAATAAGCAACCATCTTTGCTGAAAGGATTGGCTGAAAGGCAAATGCAGCATCCTGAGACAGGATCAGAACATTTGTCAGAAACAACTAGATTCTCATGGTTAGACTACAGTAAATATTCTTGAAACCCTATTGACAAACTTCCCACATTATTAAAAGGTGTATAGGAGTTGGGGATGTAGCTCCAAGGTAGAAAGCTTGCCTGACATGTATGAGGCCCTGGATTAAATCTCCAGCTCTGTGATAAATAAATAATCTCCAGCTCTGGAAAGTAGAATAGACCATTCTTTGGGTAGGTCCTTGAAGCCCAGAGGAGATCTAAAAGAGGAAGTAGGAAGCTAAGCACCATGGCATTTGGCTGCTTCATTGATTGGAATCCAAATCTACTTGTAAGCAAGCCCTCCTGGACACATTTGTTCATTTAATCTTCAGCACAGTGCTGAGAGGGAGCTATTATTTATGATTTTCTAAATCAGGAGGCCAAAACTCAAGAAGGTTAATTACTTGCTCAGTTTCATATCACGAACAAGTAGAAAACAAACACTGGAGAAGACCGAAGCCTTTCCACCCCTGGGTGTTGTCTGTCCATCTGACCTAGGAAAACACCCGAGGAGGTTCTGTTTCTTTTGCAAGAGCCTCACCTCAATTCAGTGTGTGGCTTACTTGGATTTCTGATTGGATGTCCCGGGAGTGCTGTCACCTCATCAGCAGATGCTGGTGCCAGCCATGCCAGGACTCGGAGGAGAAGTTGGGAGGAAAGGAACACGCGCCACAGTTAAGATCAACTCCTGAGAGCCAGGAATGCAGAAGGAAGGCATCTCTTGGTTTTCTGTCTTTATTTATGGGAATGTCACAGTGTGAGCTTGCGAGCTGGGACAGAGGGTGCTGAGGTGCAGAGACAGAGGTGCTGCCCACTTCCACGAAGCGTGGAGCCCCTCAGAGCTGTCTGTTCCAGGAATTTGCAACGTGCTGGTCAAGTGCCCCCAGCAGGTGGATTTTATTTGGCTCGTGGAATTATAAAAATTATTTGTTGTTAGTTACTGTGTTTAACTGTTTCATATAAAACTCCAGATTTTTTGCTTCTCTTGACAAATAAGAAGATCTGGCAAATCTATCAAATTTCAGGATGACAGGTTGTCACAGCTGAATAGAAGCTGCTCTCTAATGATCACAGACCACATCATCACTCCCCATATGTCCCTAACAGAGACCTCATTACTGTGTGTGTGTGTGAGTGAGTGTGTGTGTGTGTGTGTGTGTGTGTGTGTGTGTGTGTCTGTATTTTAAACTGTGAAGCTAAGAGGAAAGATCCCGGAGTTAATTGTCTCGACACACTCTTTTTTTTCCAACCAAGACACCACTGTGTTACTAATGTCTCTATCAAAATGTCCTTTCTGTGCATCACACTTTCCTCTTTTATATCATGCACCGGCTTCTAAAGCCAGTATTTGGACCCAGATCCACCTGACTACAAAACCTCTTATATATTTACTGTGCTGCCACTGTGAGTCCAGTAGCACTATGGGCCACTTATTTCACATTTAACATGCACTGGTATGAGCATGTCTTTTTGCTTTCAGGTCGTGTTTATTAAAATAAACCATCAGGCTTTTGAGGGAAGGAGATGATTTTATCCCTTTTTGTATCACCAGGACTTAGCACAGTGCTCTCAAATAATAGGGACCTGGTTGATTTTTCCCTTGTTTCCATGGTTCTTTAATCAAAGCTCTAAAGCAGCATTAATCACATCTCCAGGTCTCATCCTATGCACCTGTCCCTGCCGCTAGCCTGTAAACCTCAAGTATGGTATCCCTCAAGTCTAGCCCAGTGCTTAGCACTTCGGAGATGCTCAATCAAAATTGCAGTGGAATTTGGTCAATTTTTTTTTTTTGTACCAGGGATTGGAGCACTCCACCACTGAGCCACATCCCCAGCCCTATTTTGTATTTTATTTAGAGACAGGGGTCTCACTGAGTTGCTTAATGCCTTGCTTTTTGCTGAGGCTGGCTTTGAACTTGCAATCAGCCTCATGGGCTGTTGGGATTACAGGTGTGCACACCGTGCTCAGTTGGTCAGTGGTTTTGGTTGGTGCTAATAACCACACCAGGACCAACTTCTTTTCTATGAAATTTTATTTCCCACTTCTGCATGCTATCTTTTTATTGTTCTACATTAATTCAGATTATTGGACATTGGACTTAAACATTCAATTTGAAAAAATATTTCAGCAGTGTAAATAAAGAAATGTGACCCAACATAACTAATTTTTTTCCTTGGAATTTTCTCGTAGCTCTCTTTGGACCTGTATCACACAGAAGATGATATTTACAAACTGTCGCTGGTGCTGGAGCCTAGAAACTCGAAATCGGTAGGTGTTGTCTCCTCTAAAGATATTTGCTAAATGCCACTGTTTTTCATTTACAGTAATGGACTGTTACAATGGTGTTTTGTATTTTAAATACTAAAGAACCTAGAAATTCTTTATTATTCCCCCTTTGCCAATAGGATGACTTACACTTGACAGTTTGAGAATTATTCAGAGACTAATAAAAAGAAAGAATATTATCCTACCACTGTTTTATTATTATCTTCTACTTCTCATATCCATTCTGAGAAATCACCTACAAGTAGGATGAAAAAGAAAAAGAACCCATCTTAATGTTCACAATCACTCATACCTTTCCAAACTTACCCAAAACTCCATTCAACATAAAATTAGATTTAATAAATTTTAAATATCCTGATCCTAGTTCACAAATTTCTCTACTATAATTGACTCAACTTAGAATTTCAGGTTAGACACTGAGTAGATTTATAAGGAGATTGAGGAAATTGCTTTACTGAATGTATACTGCTATATTTTAGATGTTTTGTACTAACAAGAAATCGTCTGAATCGGCTGGGGGTGTGACTCGGTGGCAGAGTGTTTGTGTAGCATAAGTTCAATTCCCAGCTGCAAGAAAGAAAAAGAAAAAAAAAAAAAGCGAGGATGAATTTAAAACAATGAGGATATGAGGATTACTTGTTGAAAGAAAAAATGTCGGTATTTGCTTCTTATGCTCATATCTCAAGATCTGTTTTTTGGTCTAATTAGTTATACATAACAGCAGAATGCATTTTGATTCATTGTACACAAATGGAGCACATTTTTTCATTTCTCTGGTTGTACATGATGTAGAATCCTACCATGTGTAGTCACACGTGTACCTAAGGGTAGTGATGTCCATCTCATTCCACCATCTTTCCTGTCTCTATGCCCCCTCCCCTTTGCCCAAAGTTCTTTCATTCTCTCCCCACTCCCCTTTAATGGATCAGCATTCACTTATCAGAGAGAACATTCTGCCTTTGGTTTTTTGGGATTGGCTTATTTTGCTTAGTATGACATTCTCCAACTCCATCCATTTACCTGAAAATGCCATAATTTTATTCTCTTTTAATGCTGAGTAATATTCCATTGAGTATAGTTTCTTTATTCATTCATCTATTGAAGGGCATCTAGGTTGTTTCCACAGCTTAGCTATTGTGAATTGAGCTGCTCAGAACATTGATGGGGCTTCGTCCCTATAGGATGCTGATTTTAAATCTTTTGGGATAGCTGGGTCAAATGGTGGTTCCATGCCACGTTTTCTAAGGTATCAAAATCTGTTTTCTTACAAAGGTCTCACACACTGCCTCTTTACAGTTGAGTTCTGCAGCATATGAGCAGCATAGCCCTTAAGTCTATTAATACCCTCTGTGATTCTGAACCATGGACTGAAAGGGACAGAATGACTATGATAGCTCTTCTCCAGCCCCAGCAGGGCAGGCACTTGAGCCTGTCAGTTGAACTAGTAGCACCTGCTGCTCTAAACACAGTGTGGGGGGTGGTTCCTTTAGCACATTCTTCCTCTGCCAGTTCCTGGAGGCCAGCGCCTGGGAAGATACAGCTCAGGCAAAGGGAGGAGTGGGGAGGTGGACTCTGAGAGAGCTAGACAGAAAGAAAAAGTTATCTGAAAAAAGAAATGATGAAGCTCCTCTCTCATTCTGCGGGTTTGGTGCAATATCCCTGGCTGTGGTGTGTTGAGCCACTTATACCTGCAAACACAGGTTTTCCACCTCCTGACCCCTTCCTTTACCTTAACCAGACACCATTGCTCTTATCAGGTGCCGGACTCCTGGAGGGCATCACACACTTGTTATCTCATGAATTCCATGAAGAAAACCAGGCCTGATGAATGTAGGTGTCTCACTTAGGTGTCTCACAGCTAGTGAGTTGGAGAATGGGGATTAGGTCTCAGGCCTGGCTGTCTTCAATGCCTGTGCTTTTTCTACCAACTATCATGTCAGGAACAGAGTAGGAAGGGCCATTTTGGCATATTTGTCTCCCTTTGTCCCTTTAGATTTACTTTAGTTTATTTTCAGGCAAAATCTGGTCTATTTTAGGAGATATTTCCCTCAAACACAGGAAAATCGTTTCATTTATTGTAGGGAGTAAAAGCTTTCAAAGCCTCTTCCAAGTGCTAAAATCTTGTGGGTCTGTGAAAACATGTTTCCCAAGCTCTATTCTGTCTGTTCTTTAAGTAGAGCGTCATCCTATTTGACATGTGGTGATAACTAGGGAATAATCTCCAGATGGGAGGTTTCTGTTACTAGAATTCTGTTAATTTTCATGTGCTCACAGTTGGTGCTGGCGGACCTAACCTAAACAGTCCGTCTTAGAAGTTTTCCATCTTTTTCTATTCATGTGTCTCTCCGGTCATTTGCATTTTACTTAGTGTCTCAGCAATAGTTTCAAGGCATCCTAGATCAAAAGAATTACTCAACATTTCCACTCATAGAATTGTTAGTTTCAAACAACTCAATATTTCTCTTCTACCAACTCAACACCAACTTGGAAAAAAAATAATACACTTACATTGAAAGACAATGAGCATTTTTATTTCATTCTTAAATAACCACAGTTACTTAACTAATGGATGTCTGTGCCTATTGGACACTGCACATTTTATTGACTCTTGGACTCGGACTAGATGCTACCATTCTTATTTCTTGTTCCACACTGATTTTTTCTTCACAAAGATACATGTCATCAAAAGATATTTAGTACGATCTCATGGGTAACCTTTAAGGTGGTTGTTTTTATGGTGTTTGAGAATATAAAATATTGAGAATAGTTACATTTCACTTTGAAGTTTCAAATATCTTTTGATGCCCTCTGAATTTGTCACAGTGCTCTTGGACACTTTGCTGTACACTTGGGGAACTCAGGTATATTCTTTACCAAATCAATAAATATGATAAAAATATTGAAAATATTGACTTTTACCAGATCAATAAGATGAAAATATTGATTTAAAAAAAAGAGCATGGTGTGTGTGTAGGGGAGTGTACCTGTGTGTGTGTGTGTGTGTGTGTGTGTGTGGTGTGTGTGTATGTGCAGGCATGTGTAATCATGTGTATGGGTGAATGTATGTAGATAACTTTTGGTCTTGTGGGCAGCTCACAGAATACCAATAACATTCACCTCATAACATTGTTAGGGTCTTAAATACGTCTAGTAACTCCTCAATTCTTGCAAAAGTGTTTATCCCCAGTTTGTTATCAAATAATGAACCTGCTAATAAAGTTTTGCATGTGTGTGCCAGCAAATGCATTGACCCTGTATGAAGGTCACGGAGTGAGTATACAAACTGCACAGTGGTCTTAAGTGGTCTCCTGATAGAATGGTGTGCTGAATGTGGGTTGTGCGTTACACTGTTAAGTAAAAATGTGCTGCGAGATGGACAAATCTGAGAATGCAAGTGCACCAGGCATGGGCAGAGAGACCTAATGGTTCACAGAATAGTTGGAAGTGATTGAGTGCATTGACTGAAGGACATGAACTTGACCATGTGCTGGTGCCCGCTTATTATATGCACCTGTTAATGCAAATTTATCATTCATACCAAGTATTAAAGAACTATATACCTGGTTTTTGTATATCTCATATGAAAATCCATGATGGATTATTAGTATTTAAGGATGATTTAGTGATACTTAGAGAACTCAAGAGGGATGAACTGGAAGTGCATTATTTTTCCCCATTTGAAAATAGTAGAACTTGGGCTGCTAGTAAGCCCAATGCACTCTCTAAACATGTATTTAGGCACATATTAGATTTATTAGCAAAGATTTTATAAACATGCAATGTGAACGTTAAGTTTTTACTGGTATTATTATTATATAACACTGCCTTTCTTATTGTCCCTTGTCCTAGCTGCTCAAGGTCCAGTTAACGTTGAATAATGTGCATGCTTCCCTTTCAGCAGCCTGCCTCCCCCACAACGCCCACCAAGCCCGTGGTGCCCCTGGAGTGGGCATCTGGGGTGATGCCAAAGCCAGACCCCACGGTGATCAACAAGCACATAAGGAAATTAGTTGAGGTAAGTGGTCGAGGGCAAATTCAGAATGCACTAGAAGCCCCCTCCTTTTCTTGCTGGAATATTCTGTGATTGCATTGGGATCAGAGAGTGGTCCACGAAAACAGCGCTTCAGGTAGGATCAATTTAGCCTACACTTAGCTCTGCCTGGCACTGGTCTCTGGAAAGAATCAACCAGAAAGGTCCTCTTCCCCCTTTTGACAATGTATTCTCACCAAGCACTCCCAGTCACTTCCTACTCCTCTCTTTCTTAGGCGTTTGCTACTTTTGTCATTGCCACCAATTTGAGGGTCTTTGGGGGATTAGAATCACCCATGAAAAAGCCACATGGGTCACAATGCCAGATCAGTTGGTGACTCAAGGGGAGGAAAATACCCTATAAGTTGGATTGTTTCACCTGCTGTATGGTTTGGGGGTTCTGTGACACAGCAGCACAGTGCCACTGAGGTCAGAAAAAATTAGCCGAGTCAGGACCAAGCTCTGTCAGAGTTTTCCATACAGAAAGAAGAGTAGAAATGCCCATGTGGAGGAAATGGAAACACTTCAGGCACAGGAGATGGTGATCCCTGACTAAAGCCCTACTTCAGTGGCTGGGAATATCCTCTTTTACCATGGGTTTGAGTCTGTGGCGTATAATGTGCTTTTTGCTGGGAAAGGATGTTTAAAGAAAAAAATGAAAGAATGTTCTACTGTGTGGATAACTCAGGGAACTGTGAGGCACTGAAAGAAAAATTTTATGGAGTATGTGAGGCAGGGAGAAAAAGATTAGAGAGGGTGTACAGAAAGGAATTTTTTTTTTTCCTGAGGGAAAGTGCTAGAAGATGGTACTAAGGTCCAGAGGAGGCCTTGAGATGTGGTGGTGGGGACAGACCCAACTTGCAGCTGGGGAGGTGAAGGAAAGGATCCAGGGGCCTCAGGGAGCACATGGATACCCTCAGGAAAGTGAAGCCAGGAAATGGGAGGCAGAACCATTCCCACTTCATTCTGTAGGCTGCTTCCTCTGTTCTGATGGGGAGTCTCAGCTTTTTTCTCCCTCCTTGCCCTCTCCTTCTTACCATCTTTTTCTATTCCCATCTTCCAAGTCTAGTTTCATGGGGAAGTTTGGCCCAGTTTGAGCAAAATCGCCTACCATCGATTTAATCAAATGAAAGACTGGATTTCATTGTGAATGTTCATACTAAATTTTATTCCACAAAAAATCTTGTATTTTCATTACAAATAAATACAGTGTTAGATTATAACTGGCAGGTACTCCAAAATATTATCAGTTTTGATTATGGATTAAGTATTGATACATGCACTTGCAAAAAGTGTTATGTGATTTTGCACAATTCAGTTATCTATGGATAAATTTGCAAGGGGTGCTATAGGCCTATTCTAGTCATATTTTAAATTAAATCATTAATATATGACTTCCCTACTTCCCAAAATACTCATAAAGTGGGTTGCAAAATAGGATGGTATACATAAGGAGAATAGATAGAAACCATCAGAAAAAAAGAAAAAAGTATGACTGAAATCCAGGTTAAATGTGTATATTTGCATACATGCTGTTTTAGGCAGCTTTTTCCACTGCTGTGATCAAAAGACCTGATGAGAACAAGTAGAATGGGAACATTTTATTCAGGGGCTCAGTTTCAGAGGTCTCAGAACACAGCATATCAGAAAGAACATCTGGCCTCTGGTTTCTTGGGATTGGTTTCTTTCATTCAACATGATAGCCTCCAATTCCATCTGTTTACTGGCAAATTCCATAATTTCATTCTTCTTTATGGTGGAGTAATATTCCACTGTGTATATGTGCCACATTTTCTTTATCCATTCATCTATTGAAGTGCACCTGGGTTGGTTCCACAACTTAGCTATTGTGAATTAAGCTGCTATGAAAATTGATGTGGCTGCATCACTATAGTATGCTGATTTTAAGTCATTTGTATATATGCTGAGGAATGGGATAACTAGATCAAATGGTGGTTCCATTCCAAGTTTTCTGAGGAATCTCCATATTGTTAAAGCTTTATTTTCTATTGTCATGGTGTTGTAATTCACCAAGCCTAACTCCTATTTAACTCTGGGGTCTCAGTGTACACTTTGCTTTCTTCAGAAAATCTTTCTTAACCTACACCTCCACCATCATATCACTCTGTTTTTATCCCCTGCAAAACCACTTATCTTTTTATCCTATAAAGTCTTCTTGATTGAGTCATCTTCATCTAGATTCTAAGCTCCTTGATAGAAAGGATAATCTGCTGTCATTGCTTTCACGATAAAAGTTCAGAGTCGGATGCACAAATTGTCATTCAGTAAACACTTGTCTTTCCTTTGCAGTCTGTGTTTAGAAACTATGACCATGACCATGACGGGTACATCTCACAAGAAGACTTTGAAAGTATAGCTGCCAATTTTCCCTTCCTGGATTCCTTCTGTGTGCTGGACAAAGATCAGTAAGCTTTAATTTTATAATACTTTCATGCAACTATCTTAAAGCTTAAAATTATCAGAGGTGAACAGGGAAATGTACAGTTTCCATCTTGACAAGCTTCAGCTTTAGTGCTTTGATAAGTGTAACTTTTTACTGATATTTTTTCTTGGTGTCCATAAACATGAACTGTTGGGTAGAATAGCAAAATGCCCATTTGGAAAATTAGCCAGGTTCTCCATTTCTTTCATTACTTCTACTGCTTAGCTATCAACTTCAAAAAAACCTCCACTGAAACAGTAAGAAAAAAAATAATAATTAGATATAGTTTGGGGAAGACTTCAGTATTAATGGACCTGGGGGTAATCATAAAACTCCTTGAATAGATTTTTTATATGGTACTTATTTCATGAAAAAGCAGATGGTGCCTGTAGATAGTCGACAAGCATCCATAATTTTTTTCTTTGATTGTTCAAAAGTTGCTTTGCTATACAAAGAAAAAAATGTATTTCCTAAATTCAAATGGTTCCTGAAAAATTTAATGGCTTTAAATGCTAAAAACCAACTCATTTAAAAAATGCTGAGAAAGCCTGACATTAATAAGTTAATGAATTTTTAACTGTGTGAGATTAGTTCCTAATTTAAAAATTATCTGTAATAAAATACTGGATTTTCATATCAGTGAAATTTTGAAATTAAGTCACTGGGTTGTATGACTCAGTAATTCTAACTGTGCCTATAGCTACATCTATTTCTATATCTAAAGTCACCTTTAACCTCCTAGTCTATGTATCTTCTTCCCCAAGAATGTACTCCAACAAATCAGGCTCCTTATGTGTGTTTGTTTAGAGACCACAGGATAATTAACTCTTCATGAGATGGGCCAGACACCAGATGGCTCTTATTTTTATAAATTTAATTAATAAAATTTGATTAACAATAAATTTTAGTAAATATTATTCAAGTTATTTTGAATATGGATAAAAAGGGATCTCAAATTCTTAAGTCTGGGAAAAAATTATGGCACTGCTCATAACTGGGAAGCCTGGGGCATGGTGTTCTGAAAAGAAAGATATGGATTTGGGCTTGGATATGTTGATCTTGAAAGGAGAGTGGACCATGCCAGAAGAGAGATCTACCAAGTGTTGAAGATGTGGCACAAAATTCAGGAGAACTGTTAGGGCTAGAGATACTGATTAAGTATTGGGCCACCATGTTAGCTGGAATCTGGGGTGTGCATGGAAATTGTGATGGGAAATTTAGGGGAAGATGAGCTCAGGGCCTGAGGAAAGATCCTGCAGGGGCTTCCTTCTCCACATTGAGGAGCTGAAAACAGTAGGGAGGCAGAGAAGAAGGAAAAAGAGGGAGAATACCAGGGGTACGCGGAATTACGGGGCCCACAGAGGGCAGAATGTCAAGAAGGAAACAAGTCCCATGTTTCAGGCTGCTAAGAAGTCAGCAACTTCAGAAAAAGGCCACTGAGAACATACTAGGCATACTGTTCTAATAGAATATTAGGGTTAGGTCCTGATTGTATGGAGTAAAGAGAAGTAAGTGGTAAGAGTCTGATGGACTTTGGGAGCAAGAGGAAGAAGTGAGAGAAGAATAGTGTTGGAGATGGCAGCAGAATTGAGGGAAGAACTTTTTTTTTAGGCGGGAAAATCCTGAGCATTTTTGTAAACACAGAAAGAAATGTGACGAGATTGAGCTGAGCCTGGAAGGAGCAGAGTTCTATGGAAGCTGGAAAGTTGGGGGTGAAAGCATCCCTTCCCATGCTGTAGGAGGACCCCAGAAAGGAGAGAGGAACTGGAAGGAATTCTGATATGACAAGGAAGGGTGTGACCCCCGACACCTGCCTGTGTGGAGAGAAGGCAGTATGGAACTCAACCTAGGTCAAGTCAAGTTGGTCTTTTTTTGATAAACACGAAGTCAGGGTTTGTGGTGAGCTGGGGTTGGGGGTGGAACTGGAGTCTTGCTCTGTATGAGAAGGTCTGGAAGAATTGCTCTATGAATGGGCTATAAGCTAGTGAGATATGAATGAGATGATCACTGAGGAAACACCTCAGATGGCATCATGGGCCCAGTTAGTACAGTTTCCCTACCTTGCCCCAGCAGCCTATTTCCTGCAACCCAACTGTAAGCAAGAGCTAGAAAGAAGGTACCTTTCAGTAGTGAAGGAGACTTTCTGAGCCCTACACAGCCCATGTGTTCACACACTTGGTTCTTCACATACACACATATGCACACATCATCTTCTGCTTACTGGGAAAGACCTTGAACTCCTGATGCTGTCCTTTGAAGTCCTTCCCTCCTTTCAGATATAACAGAGAAGCGAACATTCCTCCTTTTGGCCACAAAGGTTTGCCAAGTGAGTGCTGCATCTTTGACAAGTACTTGGAGCTATGGTATTGAAAGTTCCCTCCCTTCTTTGATTTTCCTAACAGGGATGGCCTAATTAGTAAAGATGAAATGATGGCTTACTTCCTGAGAGCGAAATCCCAGCTGCACTGTAAAATGGGACCAGGATTTATCCACAACTTTCAGGAGATGACCTATCTCAAGCCAACTTTCTGCGAGCACTGTGCAGGATTTGTAAGTCTGCTTTCCATTGTTTTATCTGTAGCTATTTTTGCAGCCTCCTGAAAAGGCAGAAAAATGATACACTCAGTGGAGTGCTTTGGATGGGGAGTAAACCATGATGGCTCCCTGAAAGATTAAATAAAAGCAAAAGCTGTATCTATATGTTTAGCTCTACTCTAGGAATGCAGGGCTGGCGAAGACAGGGGGCGCTGGTGAGGCCTGTTCACTCAAGAGAGTGGTTTGTCTACTCACCCCTGCCAGGAAAAGGTGTTAGCCCAATGAGCCTGGCATTCCTCACGAATATTCATAAGTGGCTGCAATTAAGGGGATCATATATCTTAGCCAGATCCTTCTAGTGCTTGTTTAATAAGGCATTAGTCACTAGAAATCCATCAAGGCATAGCTCAATGATTGTCAATTCCAAAAGAAAAAAAAAAATCTTTTGCAGAAGATGGTTATAATAATAAATAATAACCACTTAGCAGTTGAGAGTAACAAAGTACTTCTGTGAACATTAGTTCAATTAATCTTCACAACAAGCCCTCGAGGTAGGCATTTTATTCTCCCCATTTTGCTTATGAATATAAGGAGATGCAGAGAGGCTAATCCGGGTTCCTCTGGATTGTACTTAGTAGGTATCAGAATTTGGTGTTCTGGCTCTAAGTCCTGCACTCCACCTACACCACAACAACACATGAAGATCTTACATTTTGTTGCCCCACACTTGATAATTCTTTGGAAAGTGAGGTCAGCTGCTGATCCTGACCTTAATAGAGACTGTTCTTCTCTGATTGTCATCTGGTTGATACCCATGTTAAGTAGAATGGTGGTGTTGCAGGTGAGAACCACCCAGTACTCATGTAAGTAAGATGGTTGCTTTTTTCCCCCTAGGGCCAGAGCTTAGCTTCAGCTTTATTCAGCAATCATGTCCCAGTGTTAACCATTAAATCTGTTGCTGATGTGATCTACTGTCACCAAAATTACATTTTTCCTATTCCATGCTTGAAGAACTGGGTCTGGGGAGTCCAAGGGCAGGAGTTTGTGAAAGAGAATAGATAAACAGAAAAAAAGCTGTTACATCAAAGATGGCCCCTGATGGTCATTGCAGCTCATGGGGTCAAGGGGAAAGGCCAACCTAACCAGCACTCTTTACCCAATTCTGGGAATAAGAATTCCTCTTCCATTAGTATCTGTACTGGGAGCGCATCACCAGACCACTCTATTGTAAAACAAATGCAATTCCTTTTTCATATGTCTCTAGTTTCTCTATTCTGATGGGAATTTTTAGAAGCATCTTGATTTGAAAGTGCTGAAGCAGGACAGGGTCCCCTTTTTTAACACTCTTGTGAAAAGTGGGACCTAGGGAAGGTCAGGGATGTTAAGACTGTGGCATGGCTCAGTCAAAAGTCAGGATGAATCAGGCGTGATGACACACACCCGTAATCCCAGCAGATTGGGAGGCGACATAGGAGAATTGCAAGTTCAAGATCAGCCTGGGCAACTTAGTGAGACCCTTCCTGTCTCAAAATTAAAAAAGAATAAAATAAAAAGGGTTGAGGATGTAGCTCAGTGTTAGAGTGCCCCTGGGTTCAATTATTGGTAGTTAAAAAAAAAAAAATCAGAATGATTCATCTGTCCTCTGGTGGGGTGGGAGGGTCAGAGGCTCTTATCAAGGCCTTAGCTCTGCTGCCCAGTCCTGTCCTTTCTTTCTCTTCTCTGAGGCTCTAGTTCTGTAGAAGTAGCGAGGTCGTCTTCCCTGGGAGTACCGCATATCTGTCCCTGACTCCCCCCAGCAGAGGTGGAGCAGCTGGGATGATATAGAAAGCACCTGAGCAAACGCGCTCTCACAAAGCCCCTTTGATTTTCAAAGAAATTTGCAAATATAACTTCCAAGATCTGTCATTGAATAGCATTGTAAAAAAATATAAGGAACTATTTTCCTTGTGCGCAGAACTAAGTGGGCAGACTCTGCTTTTCAGTTAAGTTCCATTTTAATGGTAAGGAAGACAAATACTCACTACTTGCTCGGCAGTACATTTATTTCAGAATTAGGATTCCAGAACTGAAACAGTGCTGGTAATCCCCGCGTTTTGTAGATAAAGAAACAGAGATCTGAAGTGCAGTGACTTCCCCCAAGGTCGTAGGGGTCACTTTGCAGCAGCACCATGGATCCCAGCCAGGTCTCTTGACTCTCAACCAGGGCTCCTTTCACCACACAGAATTACTCCACATATTCCAGCTGCCCATGTTGTCAAGTCTAAATCCTGTGGGAAATACTCCTGCTCACCCATCTACATGGGTCACCTTCTACTGTGCGTGGCTGCCAGTCTGACCCAGGGCCTCTTCTTGGCGAGTTTCTTCTCCTTGTTATTAAGTAAGCTTTAGCAAACCATGTCCTGACTTCCCCTCCTGAGAGGACTTTAGCTTTTTCAACTTTCCTGCAGCTATGCTAATTTCATACCATTTCTGGATATTGTGATATTCCATCTTGAACCTTATCCTTTCTGTTCCTACCTCAGTTGCTTTGATCACACACAAAACACCCGGGAGCAACGGCGTCCTGTGTTTCCCATAGGTAGGGCATTCTTCTTTCCAGCTGTGAGACCATGCCAAGAATCCTCACTCCTCTGTAGGTCACTCATCTGTTAAAATGAGGAGATTACTATTATCTACCCCATAAGGATCATTATCATTACTATTATTAAAAAGGACTCCATGAAGAAAGAATTTATCACTACAAAGTTTTCCAGGTTGTGGGGCCTTAAAAATTATTTAATTTCCTGGACATTTACCTTTTACAATGGAGAAACAAGAAAGATTACCTTAAAGTCCTCGTAAACTCTTGACGGGATATGACTACCCTGAATACACACTTCCTTTTTCTGTGCCCATCTCTCTTTCAGTCATTCTCTGTCCCTGAGCCTGGCTGCTAGTTGGCA